CCCGGGCACCGGCACCCCGTCAGGGCAGCGGGCTCGTCAGGCCTGCACGGGCAGCGGGAAATACCCGCTCCGGGTGGCGATCCTTTAGGAAACAGGCTGCAGGCGCGGGGGGAGAAACTACAGCAGCTCCCCCGGGAAGGGAGAAGAGTGAAGAGAGTGCAAAAAGTTGTGCTGTGCAGCAAAACGCCCCCGGGAGGATGGGATGGGGTTTGCTGCTCACGGCGGGGTGCAGCAGGTACCCTGGAGATTTATACCTGGCCACGTACTTCTGCTACCTCAGAAGCCCCTAAGGTGGACGTCCGAAGCGCTGCTGCCACGTACACCTCCCCCCCCCCGCACGGGAAATAAGACGCCAGGGCAAGGGGAGCACAGCCGTGTCAAGCATAAGGCACGAGACAGAGTAGCAAACTATATTTACTGTATACAATAGTAAAGGACAACAAATAAATGTACAAATCGGTGAATAAACAATGAGATCTACCGGACATCCCACCCCAGCCCACATACAAGAAAATGAACAAGAAAACAAGGGCCTTTCCAGCAAGATTTCCAGCAAGCAGGAGGTGATCTAACACGGCCAAATGGGTCGGGGAAAATATAAAAGGCAGATAACGATCCCACGGAGCAGCAGCAGACAGCCTGTCAAGGGACAACAGGATGGCCTCTGTAAAAATTCATCTGGAACAGACTCCACACTTCACATGGAGCTCAAACCCATCACACAAATGCATTCAAAATTCAGGAGTTTTGGGAGGCAGTAAAGCAGATTTTTTTTTTTTTTTTTTGAACACACGTACATGCACACACACGTCTCTCTTTCCTTGCCCACCCGGTTCTTGACAGCTCTTCTGCACATACAGCTCGGTGACATTAAAAGGCGCTTTTTTCCTCATTTATCAAGTTTATCTACCAAAAACAAGTATTAAAAAGAAACCTGAGGCCACACACTTCTAGTACCCACTGAGATATAGAGAGACGTACTACTAAAGGGAGCAGAAGAAAGGTGACAGATTCTGCCCGTCACTCAGCAAACGGCTGGAGTTGCAGTGACGGGTTTCTCTTTTTATAAGCTTGCACAACAAAAAATACTGCTGCTCCATCATGAGCGTTAGTTTTTGGACCAGCTGCTCTGCTAACTCCGTTTCTGACAATAATTCAGGACAAATCTCATTTCTGCATTAAAAAAAAGTATATTTTGGATTACTTTATCGTAATATGACAAAGCACATGTAAATCTGCCATATTTTAAACTCCAATTCTATACTGAGCATTGTATCTGCATTGTACCAGCCTTGTGTCATAGGCTTAACGCTTCTGAAGTAACTGTGTATGCAACACGCACTAAAAACTCAGCATCTCTTTTCCTTCTCTTAGGCATATCTTAAAGGGAAACTTTTATGCTTACAATTGGCATGAAAATATACTGAATTATTTACATGATTAGAATTAAACAGAGGGGCAAGACCGACAAGAGCCAGGAATGAACGCTCAATGTCCTAACACATGGATGAATATTTAGGCCACAGGTTTAAAGAAAAAAAACCCAAAAACACGAAAACAAAAGGTAACAGCAGAGAGACAACGCATATTACTTAATCTGAACTTAAATCAAATTGGCCCAATTGAAGATATAGATTAATCCCTGCAGATACTGTTTTGACTTGCACACGCAGTACGTCAAAGACAACAAGCAATTTTGGTAAACGTCCTCTACAGTTTAGAAGAATCCCGTGTGATTGGCATGTTCATTTGTTTACTATTTAATAGCAAATCCAAGGACAGATGAGAGAGTGAGGTGTGATGAGGATCCTTAAACTCCTCTTCTCAAAACGACAGCATGTCTTAACACACTCCACCCGTCTGCTGTTGGAACACATCGATAGTGTCTTCATCTTCCATCTCCAGCTGTTAGCATAATACGGAAAATACAAGACTTGAAATACACACAAGCTGCAAAAGCACTTAGCTCTCTACTCCTAACCACTACCAGTAATAGAGCACTTAAGGTGAAATTTTAATTAATTAATGCATGAAACACTTTCCATCAGTCACTCCAGAGCAGGCACTCCATCGTCTCTCTGATCGGAGCATCACCAACACTGAAATGGGTTTCAGAGGCACGCTTGTCAGTCCAAACTTGGCAGTTTAGCATCTTCCACAACCAATCACCCAGCCAAGCGTCTCCTCTGTTCCTTGCCTCGGGCCTTGCCAGCCCAAAAAATACTGGTGCGAGGGCAGCTACAGCCTGCAGCTTCAGTGCTGGCTCAGAACAGGCTGACGCAGAAGTAGGACAGAGCCGAAAATGCCAGCACTTGCCAGGGGTCCTTTCCACACCAGCACTCCAGTGCCAGCTTGTTCAGCGCCGATGCTCTTCCACATTTTCCTCCTGCCCCCCCCGCCCCCAACAGTGAAAACATTCAAGGGGGGGGAAAAGAAAATCCCCCCCAAACAAATTATTTGTAACACGCTAAACTTACAGCAACTTTTTCAGAATCATTTTGATTTCAAACCCCTTTGATCTACACACAGACATCAAAATATTTGTATAGTAATTTGCAGTAAAAGTATTTTTCATACCTGTGCAGGTGTGTCTGCTTCATTAATTGGTTGTCCATCAAATCTGAATCTAATCTGCCTCATTGACAAGCCCTGCAAGTTTAAAGCAATTAACATGAGAAACCACACTTTTGTTTCTGAATCCAAACAAAACATTTATGGATTTTCTGCCAGAAAAAATATTAACAAAGTTAAGACTCAAAAGATTCAACCAGACAGGAAACTTAGCACATCTGTCTTGCTTTGTGAACTGAGGAAGCGGAGCTGTTCGAGTTGATGTCCCGCTGCGCTCCTGTCGCAGCAAGGACTCTATATGGAACCACAGGTGTGGGTTTGGCACCTGGTTCTGATCCTGCTCTGCAAGGCACAGATATCAAAAGTTAATTTGCGAAGGTAATTTAAGAAAAGATCAATCAGTACACCATTCTATAAAGCCTCAGGGGACATGTCAGGAAGGAGCAGCAATTGTTTCTCACACAGTCAGAGAAGTAACGGCAGATTAAGTTGACTCAAAGGAAAACATTTTTAAAAAAGTCTGAAAAAACTACTTTTTTGTGTAACAAGCTATCAACACCGACTACCCATAGTTAAGAGAAGTTTTCACTCATGCCAGGCATCTGCTCCCCGTTCTCGTTCTTTATCTTCTGATGAAAAAAGGAACCACGCAGAAGACTGAGGAGAAAAGAACTTGCAGGACTTGATGCAGATTTTCCCTTGCAAGGTTTATTAGAAAAATGCTAGGGTCTAACGTTAGTAAGTTAACGTTGCCCTTAAAACCTAAGTTGAATTCAGGACGGAATCCTGTTTTGACAGTGTTTAATCACACGAGGCAGTCTTTATTCCCTGCCTCAGAGATCGAGGTCTTTGCTTTGCCTTCCAAAATCCTTTGAAATCCCCACGTGATTCACACTTCCAGTCACACACAGAGCCACACAAATGCAAAGACTCCCCGCACTTCTCTAAAGACCCTGCGTATTCAGTTCTTGTTCCCAACCCAAGAGGAGTTATGCTACATCGGGCATGGGACAGGGCAGAGCATAAGGTTCAAGTAAGCAAAGAAAGGATCCTACAAGTGACAGACAAGGGGAAAAGTCGGCAAACAAAATCCAACTCCACTTCCGAAAGCCATTCGCATCCCCACCCTCTGCTCTGCGCCACCGAACACAGCGTCGAAGCACAGGCACCGAGGGCTACGGGCTCAGGAACCAGGCTGCGGGGATAAATCCCTCTCCCCTTTAGCTCAGGGTGGCACTGAGGAACGGCCTCTGACACAGAGCAGCCGGCTACCACCGGCAGAATACAGCAAACTGCGCAGCGGGCAATGGGAGAGACACGTGAAGGGAGGAGAAAAAAAAAACACAATGGAAGTCATGGCACAGAAGAATGTGGTTTGTGCCATTTTCCAAACAGAAAACACGCTTTGTATAAAGTTGTTGAAGTTTTCAGAGATGACAGAACTGAGGGTTACAAGGCTAAAAATTCAGACTGAATTGGTCTCAGAGCCAGGATCAGAGCTCGAGAACTTCTGGTAACACTATCACAGGACGTTTTTGGAGCTCTGGGAGCACCTGATGAGGAAGAGGCACTTTTCATTAACCGAAGAGAAAAACTCTTAACACTTAAGGGTTTTCAGCAGCCCTCGCCCTCGCTCTCCTACACGCCTGGATGTATTCACCCTGACACACTGGTACTTTTAATGTTCCAAACAGAAAAGCAGTGAAGTTTCCATTATCCCAAGGACTGTTCCGCACGGAAAAGAGCAAGCCAGGAGCGGTGGGAGCAGCCCTGCCGCGCCGAGCCTACCTGCCGCTCGCAGTACGCCTTCATCAGCTTGCTCAGCGGGGTGTGCCGCTTG